CAAATACGATCTAAATTAATTGGACTTAATAGCAATATTTAAATTTATTAATTGTACTCAATAGCAAATAGGTGAAAGTTCAATTTCAATTTCAAGGTTCTACTTTATTATTAAAGAAGTAGATTGTCCACTAAACTCAACTAACACATAATTGTACATCCCGATTGGAGACCATTAGCGGAGTACGACCCATATGTACTTCGACTAAGGATGTTTTCTTTTGGACTGAAATTTGCTGGTCTGGTCTGTTTAAGTCTGGTCTGGTCTTGTCTGGTCTGGTCTGAACTGGTCTGGTCTGGTCTGGTCTGCTTTGGTAAACGTTTGGTCTTTGTGTATTTTATAACTATGGAAGTTTGGTCTGGTCTGTTTAAGTCTGGTCTGGTCTGGTCTGTTTAAGTTTGATATGGTCTGGTCTGGTCTGGTCTGGTCTGGGACTGAAAACAGTCCAAAAGAAAACCTCCTAACCTACAACTACGATAATACGTACGAACCAACTGCTTCTTCCTTGCTGAAGTTCTATAGAAACAATTGGACTCATGAAAAGGTAAATTTTACCGACACTTTTTTACTATGATATAGGTGATTTTCTTTAAATATAGGTATTTAGGGAGTGTTTGCAATAGCTTAAAAAAAGCACTTCTCAGCTTTTGGCTTAAAAAAACATTTATTCACCAAACACTTCCAATTTTTACTTTTTCTCGGCTTGCGTGTGAAAAGTGATTTTCCCTTTTCTATTACACAAAAAGCACTTATTTTACCAAACACTAACAACTTTTACTTTTCAAAATCACTTTTTTCTCAAACACTATCAACTTTTACTACTAATCACTTTTTCATTACATCTCCAAAAGTGCTTTTTTTTAAGTAGAAGCAGTTACAAACACTCCCTTACTCAATTACTCTCTGGTTCTTATGCTAATGATGCACAGTTGGAGTTCTCCTTTTCTGACGTGTTTGCCACAAGGTTCAATTGCCTTCTCAGTTTACGTTTGTTTCCAAGCAATTGTGAGGGCAATGTCTTTAAAAAATTACATTCATGTTTTTGTTTTCAAAGTTCGAAGAATAAGGAAAAGAATACGTAGTATAAACTAAAAACAATGCCTCCACCCATAGTAATTCAACCATTCAATATCTACCGGTGGGCGTAGCTCACCTGGTAATGAGAGAGTACCACAAGGGTTAGGTCTCGGGTTCGAATACCGGCAACTGCGATGAGAGGTTACAATGCTAAAAATGCAAAGTGCCTCTGCAAGTACCAGGGATAGAGCCCCATTCTCTATATGTCAGATCGTGATTATAGTCCAATTTACATCCTCCTATCGTGTCGTCCGTTCAGTGTTGGGGGCCCTCAGGAATGGGGTGCCATCCTTTTTTCAACCATCCAATATCTATTTCTTTTTAATGATTGTCATTCTCTATAATCTTAGATATTTTACAATTTATTGAACAACATTTAGGGCCTCCCTGATAACCATTAATTTGGTTAGATAAAATTGATTCTATATAGGTTCTTGATGAAGCAACCGAACTGCTTGAAATCTCCTAATTTTTGAAAAATTAAATTTATTTTACTAATAAAATACTCTGTATTGAAATAGTTAAATAGTTAAACAGTTAAAATAGTTAAATAGTTAAAATTTATAGTTAAATGATTGCCATTCTGTAGTTAAATAGTTAAAATTTATTAAATACAACTGTTGCGATGTAACTTTTTAGAATAGTTAATATAATTTATATCATAATATAAACCATAAAAATATGAAATCGATAGTTTAATAAAAATGTTCAAAATACAGTTGAACAACCTAAAAGATAAAAAAAATTTAAACAAAAAGTAAAATAGCGTAAATTATTAAAAATGTGAAAAGTAATTAGAGATTCTATATGAAAAGTAAAAAACATTAAAATCAGAATATATATACCGAGCAAAAATCTAAATTATTAAGGTTATAAAATGTTAAAAAATTGAAAAATAAAAATATGAAAATTAAAAATATAGACCATGTAAAAAATAAAAATGGAAAAAAAAATAAAAATGAACTTTTTAATTTAATTTATCATCCTATTGTAATTTGTTGTAGCATATTGTTTCTATTTTTTTTTTGTAATTTATCATACTTTTTTGGCTTTTTTTTATTCTCTCTGTTTATGGTTTTTCTAGAAGTGAGATAGGGTCGGGTTTTGGCTAGGATCACCAAAAACCCGGAAATCTTCGGGTTTTAAATTCTTGGGCCCGAACGGAGAACCAATTCAATACTGATAAAATTGTTCTGGGTTTTAAGAACTTCTGCTTCACGTCGGGTAGGGTTGAACCCAGAAAATATTTGAACTATTTTGCAGATGAGATTGGCAATCTCCAATTTTGATTTACCAAGGATGTCGTTGAGGTGATCTAAAGCACTTATTATGGAAAATAAGATATCTAAGAGCATCTCCAATGCTAAAATGTGTACGGTGCACATGTGATATGAGTAATAGCCACATAAATATTAGCAAATAAATTATCCTTCTCCTTATTTGAATGATTTTATACAATTTTGGTAAGTTTTTGAGTGAATTCCCTAAATAGGACTAAAAAGTGGCAAAATTGCACAAATAGGATTACATTTTTTAAATTCCCTAAATAGGACTATTTATGTGTGTTTGGACAAATATACCCTTGTAACTTGTGAAATGTTTTAATTAATAATAAAATCATAAAAATAATAATAAAAATCGAAAAAAATACTAAAAATCATAAAAAAAATAATAGAAAATTAATAAAAATACTTTTTAAAAAAATAAAAAAAAAATTAAAAAATTAAAAAAAAAATAAAAAAAATCGTAAAATTTAAAAAAAAAACATTACCACCCCTGCCACCCCCAGCACCACTAGCTCCCATCACCGGAGAAAAATATGCCAACATTTTAAATTATGCCATAATGATGGCATATTCAATGAAAATGTTGGCATATTGAAGAGTAATTATGCCATCTTTTTGGCATTTTCAGAAAAAGATGGCATTTTTTTACCAAAAGTGGAAGAAATTTCACCAATCGGAGGTGGTGGTGGTGGGAGGCGGCAGGAGGCGGTGGGAAAGGTATCCATAATTTTTTTCATTTTTTATGGGTTTTTACTATTTTTTATTATTTTTTAAAAAAATTTAAAAAAATAAAAAATTAAATTTTTTATTTTATAAATTTTTTATAAATTTTTATAATTTTTTTACGTTTTTTAAATATTTTTTACGTTTTTTTATGATTTTATTATGAATTAAAGCATTTCATTATGAATTAATACTCTTAGGGGTATTTAGGGTAGAAAATCAATGTTTAGTCCTGTTTAGGGAATTTAAAAAGTAGTAGTCCTATTTGTGCTTTTAAGGAACTCATTAGTCCTATTTAGGACAATTTCCGTAAGTTTTTCCCTGCAATGTCAACTGCATGTCAACATTTAGATGGTCTCCTTGACATTGTGGAGAAAAACTTACTAAATCTGTATAAAATCATTTTAATAAGGAGAGAAAGAATTTATTTACTAATACTTATGTGGCTATCTCTCATGCCATGTGTGCACCGTGCACATTATAACATTGGAGATGCTCTAAAGAGTAAAGACAGTAGAAATAGACTCAACAAACATTGTGAATATCTAAACTTATCCATAAAAAAGATACTCCAAAGTAAGAGCCCGTTTGGAGAACTCTGTTTTCGGCTTATCAGGCTTATCAGCCAACTTTTTCACCAAACACGTAACTTTTACTTTCGCGCGCTGAATTGTGTAATAAACCGAAAAAGTAAGGTTGCAGATACTTTTCTGGCTGTATTGGCTGAAGTTACTGTAGAGGACCATTTTAGCTACTTTTACATATAATTTTTTCTTTAATTTATTAATAAAATATATTTTTAAAATATTTTTTTCTTAAATCAGCAGAATCAGCCAAAACAGCCACTCCAGCCAGAATATCATAAATTTCAGCAGAATCAGCCAAAACAGCCGATTTTGGTGCTACCAAACGGGCTCTAATACTCCCTCCATCTCCTTTTATTTAGCCAAACCCTATTTTTCAAATCAAAGTTATTTAACTTTGACCGATTATATATTTATACACGGTCATATATGAAAATTATATTAAATTGTTCTTTGTTAAAAGTACTATCACAAAAGTATAAATTTATTAACTTCCACATAAATATATTAGTTAAAATAATGGATCAAAGTTTATCATCTTTGATTGGAAAAGTCAAAGATGGCTAAATAAAAAGAGACAGAGGTAGTATATCTTAGAATCTAAAAATGACATGATAAGAAAATGTTAAGTTGTGCAACAACAAATGGTACAAAACATAGAAAAGTGAGCCTTGAACTTCAAATAGTAATTCTAATACCATCTTTAGTTAACTTCAGTTATTTGGACTTTAAATCTTTTGGCTTAGTTTTGGATTGAGCTTTTTTAATTGATGAAGAAACTAATGGAACAAGGATTACTTAGGGCTGAGATTTTGGATCAAGAAAAATCGAACCGTTATGACCCAATTCGGTTTGGTTCCGACATTTATTAGTTATTTGTTAATGGTTCGGTTTTTATTTCTTATTAATGGTTCAGTTCTCGATTATTCCTAAAAGAATATGTACCTCGAAACGCTATTGAATGGTTACATTTATAATAATTAATCTTTTATATACTACTTATCAGTATATATGGAGTATATTTTAATGTATATTTAATATACTTATTTATTTTTATATTAAATCCACTATTTGGAATTGGTCCATTGGATGCTTTGCTTTCCAAAGAACTTATCTCTTCTACTAATTTACGTTAATAATTGAAGATCACAAGTATTGATTGCAGTAAATATTTTGTTTTGTTTTATTTACTAAAATTCTTGAGGAATGACAAGAAACTTTGCAATTAAACATGTTTGTATATCTTGTAATTTTAAGCATTGAATGTCTTTAACAAACTTTCTTAAACTAGAAACCGTAAAATGACAAGAACCAAACCATTAAGGAATGAGTTGGTTTCTTATCAGTTCTATAAATAATTTATAAGAACTGAACCATTATTAAACTTTGATATTTTCAAATGGTTTCATCTATTTTGACTAGGAATCGAATCGCTCCCAGGCTAGGATTAATGAGAATTAAATGATACGAAGTAGATTATATGATTTCTTTTACACCACCTCCAACAGAAAATGGCAAAATGCCTTAGCTCTTGCACTCTGGCCTCTTGAAGGTTACGCTAAGAAATGAAACAATAGGAATGACAATAAACCGATTCAATTGAAGCTAAAAAACTCCTGCAACTGCATCACATAGCTCACTCACGTACACATTTCAATGCATCTTTTAACCAAACATAAAACTCATGAAGGGGAAACAAGAACTACAGACCACCAATGAAATATAATCAATTGATTTTTCAAGCCAGCAAACATTCCTCCTACACGTTATTAAGATTATTTCTTTATAAGTTGATGTCATGTCACCAATATCAACATGCATGGAGCACCTTGCTCTAAATTAAAGATCACAAGAAATAGCTTTCATAGAGATTGCTAACTAAATGCTTTGGCATCTCAAATAGGTTCTTTTATTCAAGAATGCTACTTTCTAAACTTCTGTCCTAGGGAACTATATTTTCACATAGGAAAAAAAGTCCAAATGGAAAAACAAAGAACAAACATAATGGGTAAATAAGAAATGGAGACAAACAACACAAAAACAGATCAAGACAGATTCAGAAAGTGTAGGAAAAATGGTTTTTGAAGCCTGATCTGATCCGACTTATGACAAAACAGTGATTTCTATACCAGCACGAAGATCGCAGACGTAGGGAAACTGAGATGCAAACAATACCTAAAGACATACAGCTCCGGCAAAATAACTGAAAGGAGCCCCACGAATATTGAACTTATGTTGGTTCTTGCGGTTAACACTTAAGAATGTCGTTTCGATAGGCTTATCCAGAGATGGGTTGGGTGGCACTTGAGCAGCCAGTACCTCAAGTGAAAAGATTGATACAAGAAGATATTGGTGAAATGTTTTTTCGTCTTGAGCTGTGAGCAGCCCCAAGTAGTCACCGTTCCCCATCTCAACAAATTGGCAGGCCATACGTTTCCTTCTCAATCCTTCCAAGTTGAAGATGCCGTCCACTTTTTGATAACAGGAGCATCCTTTTCCTTCCGTGAAAAGTGCAGCTCCAAATCTTAGAAAGTAGTCAAAGAATCCAAAAACGACATACGTTTCATCATCCAAACCAGGAGCCGAGACAGCACCCACTGGTAAGCCTAAGTCAATAGGAGGACAACCCATCCTCCAAAAAAAAGGGTCATCCTCCGACCATTCCTCTGTCTTTAAATTAAAAACATAAGAACATTCCCCACAGTAGTCAAGAGCGATGAGCAAGTAGAGTTTCTCCCCTATTCGTAAGAAGTCAACCACCCGGTACCATCCCGAAGGGGAACCATCAAAAAAGGGTACTGATTTCACAACCCAACCCTTCTCTGGACAAGCGAAATCAAAAAGTTCAAAAACTTTAGTTGAATATCTCCCACTCTCGTAAACGAAACGAGAGCCCATGTGCAGCACAAATACCTTGGTTCCAAACTTCTGGACAATTGGGTGTTTCTTCCCCTCGTTCATACTTGGCATGATTTTAGAAGGAACTATGGACCAGGAACCTTGTTTCACCTCAAAGATTTCCTTGCGAGCGATATTATAGGATGGAGAATAATAGAGATAGTCAGGAACATGGGGCGCTTTACCGCCCACCAACAAAATCCTGGACTCCAGTTCAATCATACCCGCAAAGGGATTTCGTAGCTTCTTCACCGAACAAGATCCAATGCTACTTCCTAATATATTTATCACGAAAAGATGCTTTGGGGATAAAACATACAGAGTGCTTGGGCGATCGACCTTCATACTTTCACCTTCTCTCTCTTCAATTGTTGCACCTGTCTTCATTCCAAAATATGCGTATTACCAGACTGCCGATCGAAGACGCCGGAAGTTGAAGTTGAAGATCGAAGAGGCCGATCGTTGAACTCGCGTTAGGTTTAGAGAGTCGTACGTATATTATTCCAGGCCGGCGGGCACTTTTAGTTAAATTTATGGTTCACATTCCAAAGAAAGAGTAGGGTTTAATGGTTTATAAAGGATCGATACTAATGCAGTCGAAGATCTTTATTCTACTTTAATTTAATTTTTTTTTTTGTTGTAATTTGAGTTTCCAAATTCAAATTACCCTATTTTTATTTGTTTAGTTTTGAACTTAAAATCGTTTTCCTAAATAAGTGTATATTGTTATTTTCTTACCTTTTACGGAGTACATATATAGAAATTTGTATGTATTATGGAGTAGGGTTGTAAACGAATCGAATCGAGTCGAATAATGTGCTTTTGTATTTGTATTTGTTTAATTTTTCCGAATACGAATCCGAATTCGAATATAAAACGAATATTATTTTCGATTTGTATTTGTTTAACTATACGAATAGTTAACGAATCATATACGAATATCGAATCGATTTGAACATAAGTTAAATATTAGTCAAATATTACTTGAAAACAACTTTTCCTATAGATCTATGCATTTTTAGGTTGTGCACAATGTATTGAAGTGAATCAATTTTATGATTATTATACATACATATATTTCATAGTTTTTGAATAAACACTAACACACATTAAAAAATTTACCAATAATGTGTGAAAAAGTTGATAATTGTATATATCAAAATGATCAAACAACTCGAATTTTATGTTAGATATTTAACATTGTTGATAATAAAAAACACCAGTAGATAAATAGTTAATGTACACATATATGTATTTGATGCGCACACATATATAGTATATACTACACACATATATATATTTCATTATTCTTTGAATCAAATGCATAATCATTTGTATTCTTATTTGAGATATGTTTGAACCGAAAATCTGATTTGTATTTGTATTTATATTCTTCATTTTCAAATTTAAATCATAACTTATGAATCCAAATCATGAATCAAATTAAAATTATTATTATGTTTACAATTCTTACTGTATGAGTAAGAATGTATGAGTATACATAAATGTATATATGAGCTACACTTAGAGGGTATATACCTAGCTTTTAAAAACTCTTAGTGTTATTACTACTATTATTACTATTATATTATTATTATTAATATTCATATTACTATTATTAATCGAATATATTTGATTAACATTCGAATCGAATATACTGATATTCGTATTTGTATTTGATAACAATTCGAATCATTTTTAGTATTCGTATTTGTATTTGTATTTGATTTTTTCGAATTCGAATCGCTTTATACGAATACGAATCCCGAATCGAGCAAAAATTATTTGATTCGTATACAACCCTAGTATGGAGTGATATTTAAGGGGAATACTACCATTACAAATATAGTAATTTTCCTATATAGGACTAAAAGATGAGAGAAATTCTTAAATAGGACCATTTATGTTTTTTTCCCCAAATGGGACTAATTTACTCCTATTCTAAAACCTACGTATTTTCCATTCCACTATTACCCTTCTTTTTTACGCACCTCTCCATTCCACTTATTCCCCTGCGCACAACCTCCCATCACCTTCTCTCTTGCGCACATTCCCCCTTTCTTCTCTGTGCATCATCAATCAACTTCGCACTAACCATCGCCGCCGCCTTCGCCGGCCATCTCACGCCGCCGCTGACTTCGCCATCTCACGCCGCCGCTGTCTTAGCCATCTCACGCCGCCGTTGCTGTCAATTTCACCATATGCTGCTGCCACTAAGGTTCTCCTCCATCCTCCTTCTTCCTCCTCCTCCTTCCTCTTTCTCTTTTTCTTCTTCTTCTTCTTCTTATCCGGTTTTCCTCTGTTTTTTTGGATTTTGAATTGATTTTTCCAATTTTCGGAGTTCTATTTCAATTTTCTGGATTCTAATATCTCTGTTTTGAAAAATATCCGATTTTCAATTTTTTTGGATGATTGCTTCAGATTTGGCCAAAATTATGGCAGAATGTGTACATTGACAACCATATTATGGCAGAAATGCTTTTGTATAAATGGATTTTTCTGATTTTTTGTCAACAACTTCGTTTTTCTAATTTTCGATTGTGTTAAAAATCCTTATTCCATTAAAAAAATAGTCCTTTGAGTAATTGGTTATTTATTCCATGTTTTTCTATTTTTGCCAAATTTATGCAAGTTTTATGTTAAAATTTCAATATAAATATGCCAACTCTTTGGCAGATCTGAAACTCTTGTTCATGGCAGATGTGAATATAATCTCCAACAACAAATCTGCCATCTTAATGGCAGATTTATTCCGCCTAAGTTGTCACAGTGGTGACGGTGCTCAGAGGATGGTGGTGGCGGTGGATTACGACTCCGGTCAGATTCTGATGGCATAGATGGCGGCGCCGGTGAGAGGTGGTGTAAGCGACGATGGATGGTGACGCTGGTGGATGGGAAGCGGAGGTGGCAGGGTGGCGGTGATGGATGGCGACAGTCACCGGCAAGGATGCGGTGGCAGGCAGCGAGGGCGGCGACGGGTGGTGCCGTCACCGGCAAGGGTGGCGGCAGGCTGCGCCGGCGTGGGGCGGCAGGCAGCGGTTTGGCTCCAGCAGCGGCGGTGCTACTACTAGGGTTTCAATAATTTTTAATTTACATTTTTTTAATTAAAAGAGGGGTATTTTTGTCCAACTGTATTGAAATTAGTCCTATGAATGTTATGTTTCGTTTGTAGTCCTAAATGTGCAACTAACTTTGCTATTGATCCTATTTGAGTCATTAACTCTTACAAATACGGAGTAGTACTAAAATCATAAAAGCATCAAACTACATGTGAAACAAATTTTAAGTATTTACTTAAAATTGATCGCAAATAATAATATGTGAGAATATCGGGTACAATCTCTAAATATGAATCCTCCGATTCTTCACTTGCAATTTGATATGAATATAATTAAATAATTTAATTTAAAGATTAAATCTCTAATTCTTCAAATATTCGAACGTTCTTCGGGTCTTCGAATCTTCGTTCTTGAGATCTTCGAATCTTCGAACCTTCGTTCTTCAGATCTTCAAATCTTCTTGAATAAAGAATTCAGCTTGAAGGGCCTCCGGTTTTCAAGTGGCTTGATCTTCAACAAAAGGGCCGTTTTATGGCTTGATCTTCTGTTAAAGGGCCTCCCGGGATATATGGCTTGATCTTCAGTTGAATCTTGATTCAATTTTCATATGAATATCTTCAAATCTTCAAAGATTCGTTCTTCATATCTTCGAATCTTCAAAGCTTCGTTCTTCAGATCTTCGAATCTTCAAGCTTCGTTCTTCAGATCTTCGAACGTTCTTCAACTTTTTGCTTTGTTTGATCAAGAATAAATGAAATCACAAAGGATTAATCATATATTCTTGACAAAAAACGTGGCTTGATATCTTCCGATGCTTCGGAATCCTTCAGAGCCTTTCGGGAGTTCTTCAGAGCTTTTCTGCAGCGTTTCTTCGTCTGGAAGTTCTCCTCCCTTCCTCTCATCTGAGACCCCTATTTATAGGTGTGGAGAGGGTGAAAATATGATGAAATTCGTCCATACCCCATGGGCCTCAATTAAAATGGGCTTCGGGCTCTATTTTCTTGCATTTCAATAGCTAGAAAAATCAGCATTTATGCAATGTATCTGGACAGCTTCTTTGACAAGGTTCACGACCATTTTCCATGCATTTGGATGGATTTCTTAACCGGATTCATTGATATCTTTATCAATTGGATATATCTCTTATATATTGGGCCACTATTTAGTAATGGGCTTGAAATTAATAGGACCGGTCCATTCTTTCAAAGATTTAATTTATAATTAAATTAATTGGATGTTTTAAATAACCCAAAATAATTCAACCACTAAATTTTCTTTGAATGGGCCCATATTAATAAACCCCAACAGTAGTCACGAGCAGCCCAGTAGAATGTAACATTGGTCCAATAGCACTAGAAAGAGGCTCCATGATCATCACAACTGGCCCAATAATTTTTAAATGTCCACACTACAGATGAAATGTAAGATTTTAGTCATGTATGATATTTAACTATTTATTAATGTAAATTAGATGTCACTTTATAAAGTTTACAAATATTAATTGTTACTTTTAAAGAAACCTAGCTTTGTTGAGTTATGGTCTAAAGTTTTTTAGCAATTCCAATTATAAGGACTAGTTTTTCACCCGTACGTTGCACGGGATGTAATATACATATTTTAAATTAAAGCATTTATACATCTTATCATAACTTATCACATGAATGAGAGAAATCGTAAAATATTAAAAGATTAATCAGCACACAAATTAGATTTGGCTGAGGACTTTGTGGATGACGTTTTTTTTTTGTAGATTTTCAATTTTTTCATTGCATATCGTGGTGAACCCGCAACATACAATTGTGAATGTGTAAAAAGAGGAGGACATGAAAAATCATACAGTTTCCTATGATTACCCTCGGCCCTTGCCTTTTTTTTTGAAATAATGCATGCCGCCTTTAAATTACACTATTTTGTATATTCCACTTTTTTTTTACCTGGAAGGCAAACCACCAAACTCAGTGGGGTAAATGCCAGGGAACACTTACATTTAAACATATATAAACTGTGTAAGTTAACCATGTACTAAATAAACTATTCAAAACTATTCAAAACTAACCTCACCCTTGAGTGTTACGTACTTACGTCAGTTAACTAACTAAGAACTTCTAATAAGTCAATTAGTTGACTAAGAGCATTCATATATGCATTGGAAAGCCTTTGTGTGGCCTTTGCGTCATGAATATGGATGGACTGGGACGGGACCTGGCCCGCTACTGTGCAGGCTCGGGCAGGCGATGTTGGGTCCGAGACTCGGGGCCCGAACTGGGAAAGAGGGGAGGGCAACGGGCTCTGAAATCTATGGACCGGCCCGACTGGTTCGGGATCGGTCCGGACCTGTAATGGCTATTTTCTTTAAAACAAATTAAATACTTGGGCTGCATTGTATTTAATGGGACCGGTCTGAGCCGAAATCTATGGACTGGTCTGGGCTAGCTCCGATTGATTTCTAGGAAATGTATTTAATGTTTTAAAATTTTCTTAATTCTCAAGTGTAGTTCATATTTCAAAT